TACCAAACAACACCCAGCAGAGGACATTAGTATGAGATGTTCACATACCTTCTCTTATAATCCTATTAAGGTAGGTCATGTTGTCCTCTCTTTCATTCCAGAGTTTAGTAATTTGAGTCTTCTTTTATTTTTTTTTCTTGGTCTCCCCTAATTAAAAGTTTGTCAACTTTGTTGATCCTCCCAAAGAACCAACTTTTGATGTCATTGACTTCTGCTCGTTCTTTATTATGTCTTTCTCTCTATTTGCTTTTGGGTTTAGTTTGTTCTTCTTTTTCTAGTTTCTTAAAGTGGAAAGCTGAGATACTGACTTGAGAAAGTTCTTCTCTATTATGGGCATTTTCGTCTATAAATTTCCCTCTAAGCACTGCTTTAGCTGCATCCCAAAAGGACTGGTGTAACGTTTTTGTCACATACCTTCCCCAGCTTGTTTTCCTTGAACTTTATTCCAATCCTCATAAAGCACACTACGGCAGCATTTCTTATGGTTTTTTTTTCTTTGAAATGTATAGTCATTATTAGGTTTTTACTTTTCTGGAATTGTTTCTTGCCTTTCTTTGTTTCTAGAATGTCTTTACTTTCTTTCACTTTTTATTTTTTATGTTCATTCACTCTTTTTTCCTCTGCATGCTATTGATTATTTTGCAACAACATGGAGAAATAGCAGTGAAGAATAAGCAGGAAATAAGAGGCAGTCACTGAAAGGTGGAAAAAGAGAGAAAGAAAATTAGGTAATTATTAAAAATTGATGTTATCTTAAAGAAAATAATTATTAAAGCATAATTTAAAAGAGCTATCAGTTTTAGTTCTTTCTAACCAAACAAGAGAAAAATTAGCAAACACTCTACAATTTTTCTTGCATATTTTGTATGTGTTAGATTGACACACCCAGCGAAGATAGGTTCAAGGGGTGGTTTAGTTGGTTGGGTTTGTAGATATCTAAAAAGAAGCTATTATGATGAAAACACAGATGGCTTGTTTTCCATCTGAGATTACTCATGCAAATGGGTAGATAAGAATTCTTGAGGCCTGGCTTGGTGGCTCACACCTGTAATCCAAGCACTTTCGGAGGCTGAGGTGGGAGGATTGCTTGATCTCAGGAATCTGAGACCAGCGTGGGCAACATGGTGAAAACTTGTCTCTACAAAAAATACAAAAATTAGCCAGGGCCGGGCACAGTGGCTCACGCCTATAATCTCAGCACTTTGGGAGGCCGAGTTAGGCAGATCACTTGGGGTCAGGAGTTTGAGACCAGCCTGGTCAACATGATGAAACCTCATCTCTACTAAAATACAAAAATTAGCTGGTTATGATGGTATGTCCCTGTAATCCCAGCTACTCAGGAGGCTGAGGCAGGAGAATCACTTGAACCCGGGAGGCAAAGGTTGCAGCGAGCCAAGATCATGCTGCTGTATTCCAGCCTGGGCAATAGAGTGAGACACTGTAAAAAAAAAAAAAAAAAAATTATCCAGGCATTGTGGCACATGCCTCTGGTCCCAGCTACTAGGGAGGCTGACGTGGGAGGATTGCTTGAGTCCAGGAGGTTGAGGCTGCAGTGACAGTGAGTTGCAATCATGCCACTGCACTCCAACCTGGGCAACAGAGCAAGATCCTGAAAAAAAAAAAAAAAAAAATTCTAGAATCTATTGTCTAAAAGAAAAAGAGAGGACTAAAAAATAAAACGACCATTTGCCCTGAAAGTTCTTGGGCTCAAGTCACTTGGTTAAGAAACTCATTAAGCAACTTTCTAAGACTTCCAACTCAATGAAGCAATGATATATTGGAAACAGACAGTCCCTAGACTGTTAAGGGCTTTAGAAAGCTAACCAATACCTAGGATTCTCAGAAGAAAGCAGCCTGCTAGGGCCCTAGATGGGGTTGAGAATTCAAAAGGATTGCTATGCATGTAAAGTAAATGGATGAGAGTTGGTATCCTATAGACTGGGTTGGCCCATTAGTTTACCTCTGGCAGGGACAACGGTAAAGCCCCAAGGGGGAGCTCACAAGAGAGCGCCAGACAGTCATCCGAAACACAAGAATTTAGCTTCTTGTTTTGAAGATTTCTGGAATCCTTATAAACAATGTAATATTATGGACTTCCAGTTGAGAAGGGGGCACACTCTAGAGTTTTGGGAAAATTAAGAAAGATGCATGATGATGGGTATGCTAAAAGCCAAGACTTCACCACTACACAATATATCCATGTAACAAAACTAAACTAAACTTTTACCCACTAAATCTATTTTAAAATAATGTATATCAGTATCATTTTTGTTTCTTATCATTTTTATTCCTCCCTTCTCTAGCTAGTCCATCAACAGACCGAGATGGCCTTAAACAGTGTTTCCCAAAGCATGGTTCATATACCGCTGATGGCACATGAGATGGTTTTTGTTTTGGTTTTGGTTTGGTTTTTTCTTTGAGACAGAGTCTCACTCTTGTTGCCCAGGCTGGAGTGCAATGGCATGATCTCGGCTCACTGCAACCTCCACCTCCCACGTTCAAGCAATTCACCTGCCTCATCCTCCTGAGTAGCTGGGATTACTGGTGCCCACCACCACGCCCAGCTAATTTTTGTACTTTTAGTAGAGACAGGGTTTTGTCATGTTGGCCAGGCTGGTCTCGAACTCCTGATCTCATGTGATCCACTCACCTTGGCCTCCCATAATGCTGGGATTACAGGCATGAGCCACTGCGCCCCACCTGAAATGGCTTTATGTGGTACAAGAAGGTTTTACTTGTACAGTTAGTTATTTTAAGAGAAGCAGAAACAATATATTGAAACATATCAACCTGTGAATTTACAGATATAAAATTTAAATAAATAACTTTATGCAAAAAAAAAATAAAAGAGAGAGAGAAAAAGAAAGATGTCCATGAATCTGGGAGGAAAAAGAACAATTTCTTCCTACTTTGAGGTATGAAAGTAAGACTTTCAGGGTTTGGCGACTGTGTTATATCATGGGGGAGAAAGGAAAGTTGGGGACATGAAGACACCTAAACTCACAGCATCACTAGGAAAATACGAAGAAAACAAAGACACAGTTCAGACTCAGAGCCAGGATAAATGCAGGAGTGAATATTTACTTTTTTTTTTTTTTTTTTTT